TATAACAGGTACCCAAGAGATGCTCGGAGGTTCCAGCCTATGGTTGCTTCTGAGTACTGCTTGCTTATGGAGGCCACCTGGGATGAGAGGCACACAATGAGTTTGCTAACAAGGTGGCATTGGCCAGGGACTCTGGTAATTAAGTCAGACGCTTCCCCCCTGTGTGTGTGTTGGGGGCATGCTCTGCATGGGTGAATTCAGGAAGCACCTCTTTCAAATGTGTTAAGGCAATTATGAGAAGCCGCTGAAAGGAAATATATAAATACACAACTGAAATATTTGTGGGCAGCCTGTGAGGTGACAAAGGAAATGTCTGAGTGAATAGCAAATCTTTCTTACACGTACAGAGAGGTAGAGTCAAACTGCTTGAATTTGTATCAAAGAAAAACAAGATGTCATGCATATTGTTTTTTTAAACTTTACACAACTGCTTGGGAATATTCAATACAAAATAAACATATTCTCACCTGTCCATTCAGACACAGCCATCGGGCTCAACGAGCCCCAAAGATGAGCATTAAGGTGGGTAACAACATGTAACTACTCCACACTGTACACACTTCTCCCTTTATATGAGCAATGGGAAAGCATGGACGGATGGTTGGATGGTGAGATCTAATTGGCAAGGCCAGTTGAAATCTAATCAAAGAATGAGCACTAAGGGCAAGCCAAAGGAACTGGAGCTGCGTGCGTTAATCAGCTTCCCACACTATGACAAAATACCTGAGCTAAACAAGGAAATAAGGTTTATTGGGGCTCATAACTCCTGAGGTTTATGCCCATAGTCTCCTAACCCCAGAGCTTTGGGCTTTCGACACCCAGCATAGCACATCATGGCAGGGAGAGCCATGACAGAAAGGTTCACCTCGTGACAGCCAAGAAGCACAAATGGAGACAGGAAAGGATCAAGACCCAGCAACACCTTCAAGCTTTCATAAGCTTATCCTACTGACCTCCCCATTGGCCCTATCTTCTAAAACTTCCACCATCTCTAGTAATACCACAGGCCGGTGGCCAAGCCTTTGACACATGGCCTTTGGGGGCCACTTATCCAAACTGTAGCACTGCACTTGAATCTAGGCTCTGCCAGTTATCAGAGGAATGACATCACTTGGTTCTTTGTCCACACACTCCTCAAAGTCAAATGGAGACAATCTCTCTCATTCCTAGAGCTGTTCGTAGGATTCAGAATTTTGTCTGCTATGAGCAACACCACCCAGGCCAGGCCTGTTACACAGTGCAGACTCACTGTGGTTTATGGATCTAACCCCTCTTCCTTGTGGAAGCTCAGGTTGTCCCCACACTTTTGCAACTCACAAGCCTGCCAGCACAGATATCATTGTCCACGCACCTGCCGTTACGTGGCCTCAGGCTAGTAACAAGCAAAAGAATTAAATCTTAAGTGCTCTGAAGAGACACTTGGTATAAGTTGGAAATTTAAAAAGAGAGGAGATTATAGCGTGAGGTGTATGTGTGTGGAGCTGTGTCCTGCCTATATACACACACGAAGGACAGGGGAACTGTGGAAGGCCCCCCTCAACCCAAATGTCACAGCAGTTACCTCCTGGGTGTGTGAGCTAGGCTGTGTGGCAGCTGAGCGCATTGCTCCTGAATGCATCCAGGATGCTGGCTTACTGCAGTAAGCACTGAGCCCATGGGCAGTTTGAAGGTTTAGGAGAGTGTCTATTACATCAGCAGCTGGGGTGACAATGAGAACTCTACAGACAAAGGACCTCCTGGAAGTTGACCCACAAGTAGATGATATAATCCTTTAGGGTGGGTCATTCATTCTACTCACAGGACTTGGGGTGGGATGGGATTAACCCAGCACAAACTCCCCGGCCTTTCGAATGCTTCCTGAAAACTCTGGGAAGCCTTACACTGAACAGGAAGACAGCGAAGTGGATCCTGGGAAGACTCACAAAGAAAGAACCATCGCTGGTCACCTGTGCATCCCTGGTACCTGGAACACTCCAGCACACCCAAAGTCCCCAGAGAAGAGATTGTCGAAGAAAACAGGAGGGAGGGAAGGAAAGAGTGAGGGAGAGAGAAAGGGAGGGGGACTTCTAATTATATTGAGAGCAGTCTCACCCAGATTTGAAGACTCTCTCAAACATTAACTTGAATACCAGCCCAATGTCAAAATGTCTACAGTCAGCTGTCAAGGAAATGAAGAGAAAATTATTATCAGAAATAGAGAGTCTCAAAAAAAATGTCTATCCTTATTGCTACCCCTCCAAAGTTAATTAAGTGTGGTAGTAAGACTCGAGCTGTTTGAGCTCTCCATGTAATGAAAAGCTCCTCTAGAAATAATCCCCAGAGGCTCAGCTCACTGGGCTGAGAGGTTGAGGCAACTGGAGCACCAGAGGGTGCCAGGAACCCTGATCCCTGCTCCAGAGCAGTCATCACAATCAGAGGCCTCATCTGTATTCAGACTGCACAGCAGCTCGGGGCAAGAGCATCAGAGAGGCAGGATTTATGTCCCCGGGCAATCTGCTTGCTTCTAAGAGGGTTCCGCTGTCATTTAGATTTCACAGCCTCAGTCCTCAGGAGAGCCTGCTGGCTGCTCTCAGAAAAACCAGGGGGGGGGGCTTGTGTTAAAGGGGCCATGAAACAAGGACTGCCCTTGTTTCTCATCAGCTGGAAACACAGGTTGTCATCACTAGAAGGGACAGCTATTGACTGAGTATTTGTAGGAGGGAAGGGAGAAGAAAAGAAGGGAAGGGGAGAGAAGGGAGGGGGAACTGGAGGGAGGGAGAGATCACTGAAATGCCTGAGAGCGCGATAGAGTGGTAGAAAAATCACTCACTTCCAGCCTTGCCATGCACTGTTACACAGCCTTTAGGATCGAGAGATCTGTGGACCAGCTGACCTGGAAATATAAGAGTGCACACTGCTAAGTACAAATCACTAAGACCTAGACACAGGTTTTGAACACTGAGCAAGGATGGAGTTGCCGGACCTTGGAGACAGCAGATGACACTAAGTCTACCCCTCTGCCTGCTTTTGCTCAGGAGACAAGGATGCTTTGGAATCACTGGGGGTGGGGGAATCAAGATGATTTTGTAGCAGATGAAAGCAATATGAAACTCGCAATTCCTTGTAGCTGGAGGTTTCTCTCCTACCCACCAGTTCCCGAATAAACACCCAGAGGTTTAATGTTAATTAAAATTGTTTGGCCAATGGCTCTGGCATATTACTGACTAGCTCTCACAGATAAATTAACCCATTTTTACTAATCTGTGGATCACCATGTGGCCGTGGCTTACCAGTGATGTTCTGACATCTTACCCTTCAGGCAACTACATGGCATGTCCCTGACTCTACCTTCTTTGTCTCCACATCTCTGAATTTCCCGCCTGGCCCTATTCTGCCTGGTCATTGGCCAAATCAGCTCCTTTCTTAACCAATGGTAATAAAATGTTACTATCCTCTCATAACTTTACTAAGAGCATATCAGGTACTAGATTCAGATTCTTCAGGATAGGACAGCTATTGGAGTAATCTCTGTGATTTGCCATTTACCTACGATGTGGACATTTAGTATGTGTTTCTTACTTGATATTGTTCTTGTTGTAGTTCCATTTTTATTTATGCTATTACCCTTTCTTCCTGCTGGACAATACTTGATTGTTGTTCTTAATGTATATATTTTTGTATTAGGTTTAGAACCTTCTTGTTTAGACAAGAAGGGGAAGTGTAGTGGGTATTCACTCTGCCCATGACCTTGGGATATCTGGCCTGAAGGAGGTCTTGTCTGCCTACTTGACCTCTTATAAGGAAGGAGGGAGGGGGTCGCTCACTCTCTTGGGTGGTGAAGACTGGGCCAGGTAATGTGAAGCAGTGTGTGATCGGTCCCCTGCTTCCCAAGGACTCTGGGACTGGATTTACCATATCCTGTATTTGTGAATGTATTTTCCCCTTTTATATCTTAGTAAGTCCTTGATATCCCTTAAACAGATACACGAGGATTTCTCATTACAGTTCCTTGTCCATCACAAAGCTTGACTGGAACACAGCCCACGCACTCTTTTGCGCATGGTCCTGTGTGGCTTCTTTTATGCTACAGTGGCTGAGTTGTCAATTCAGCAGACACCCCACAGGCTACAAAGAAAGGAATACAGGCTGCCTGGTTCTTTCTCTGAAAATCTTCCAGTCCCCAGTTTAGAGTGCTCCCCACGTGTAATAAGAGTAAATTTTATGCATTTCTTTATCCACTCATTCAATGTATCATTAATCAACAGATAACAAATGCCTCCAGGTGGGGTCAGGCACCAGCAAGCAGCTGGGAGCAGATGAAAGCAGTCCTCTCCTAGACCCACCCTTCCATTTATTTCTTCCTCATGGTATTCTAGCCTTTACATCATGGTACCCTTTGCTGTCCCATCATGTGCTCTGACCATCTTGGTCTTCCCTAAGGAAGGGTACCTGGAAGAGTCCCCATGCCTCCTAGTTTCTCACCAGGTGTTGGAAGTAAGAAAGACTTACCTTGGAACAGGCCATGCTGTTGGTCTAATTATGATGTGCTAAACACTCAATCTTTGCCTCTTCAGCTGCTGTGACCCCAGAGAGGGCAGCTAATAGTCCTGACCTTATGCCATGGATGGAAGCAGGCACTAGCCATGGAGAAGGACATGACAGCCTATGTGTATGATCCCTTGCACAAACCAAAACCACCTCAAGACACAGCCACCAGTGCCTCAGCCTCCATGAGAAATCTAGAAGGTAGATGCATACTACAGACCTGGAAGGAATGTGACTTGGAAGACCAGCTGAGGACTGCGGTTTGAACCGCGAAGGCCCTAGTCTTACTTTATTCTTATTTATGTCCTGCACTTCACAAGCAACAGCTTGATTAGTACTACAACAGCATTAGGCCAGTTATTAGACCCTCCCCAACACCCCTCTTTGGCTTGGTTGGGAACTTGAAGCCCAGTGGTTGGAGCTGGAAGAGAAGTGGCCAAGGCCAAGGTTGAGTATAGAAGCTACAGGGCCCCAGAATGGAGCCCAATGGCACGATTCATTCTTGTTGCTTAGACTCTACTGTACTGAAAGTCACCATCAGTTTGATCCTCACCACCCTCATCCTCATCACCGTCGCTGGCAACGTGGTCGTCTGCCTGGCTGTCAGCTTGAACCGTCGGCTCCGCAGTCTGACCAATTGCTTCATTGTGTCTTTGGCGGCGACCGACCTGCTTCTTGGCCTCCTGGTGCTGCCCTTCTCTGCCATTTACCAGCTCTCTTTCAAGTGGAGCTTTGGCCAGGTTTTCTGCAACATCTACACCAGCCTGGATGTGATGCTCTGCACAGCCTCCATCCTTAACCTCTTCATGATCAGCTTGGACCGCTACTGCGCTGTCACGGACCCATTGAGGTACCCTGTGCTGGTCACCCCAGTTCGCGTTGCCATTTCTTTGGTCTTTATTTGGGTCATTTCCATCACCCTATCTTTCCTGTCTATTCACCTGGGATGGAACAGCAGAAATGAGACCAGAAGAGACAATGATACCTTCAAGTGCAAAGTTCAGGTCAATGAGGTCTACGGGCTGGTGGACGGGCTGGTCACCTTCTACCTGCCTCTTCTCATCATGTGTGTCACCTACTACAGAATCTTTAAGATCGCCAGGGAGCAGGCCAAAAGGATCAACCACATCAGCTCCTGGAAGGCAGCCACCATTCGAGAGCACAAAGCCACCGTGACGCTGGCTGCAGTCATGGGAGCTTTCGTCATCTGCTGGTTTCCCTACTTCACCACATTTGTCTATCGTGGACTGAGAGGGGACGATGCCATCAACGAGGTGGTTGAAGGCATTGTTCTATGGCTAGGCTACGCCAATTCAGCCCTGAACCCAATCCTGTACGCTGCCCTCAACAGAGACTTCCGCATGGCTTACCAACAGCTCTTCCACTGCAGGCTTGCCAGCCACAACTCCCAAAAACCATCCCTGAGGCTGAACAATTCTCTGCTGTCCAGGAACCAAAGCCAAGAAGGCAGATGGCAGGAGGAGAAGCCCCTGAAGCTCCAAGTGAGGAGTGGGACAGAAATCACACACCCCCAGGGAACCCCAGACAGGTAAACATCTGTGTGGGTCAGAGGAGACTTCCTCCCACCCCCACCTCTGTGTGGGTGGCACTGAGACCATTCTGTGCGCATTTTACAGAAATCATCTCTCAATGGCTCTCTTGGGTAGAACATTTGCCTTGTTTTTAAAAGGCCACATTAACGGTAAGAGAGATCTCATCAAGGGCCTCTGATTTGGGACCTGGACAAAGTGCTACTCACCCCAGAACTCAGAGGCCCTTCTTTCTAACTAAATGGTCTTTCCACTCGGGTGGCCTAAGTAGAAGGCCCAGCTCTGCCACTTAGGAGTTACGAGTGACCAGTTAGACCCTTAGAGGGTCATTCAAAAGCCATGTGCAAATCAGCTCTTCCTTGGGGAGTGTTCAAGTTAGTACGGAGGGAAAATGGCAGGGGTCAGAAGATGGGACCTCAGTGGAAACAAAAGTGTGGGCCGTGTGTGAGTAGAGCTTGGGGAAAGACAGACATAGTGGCGGGGGGGGGGGGGGGGGATGCGGGGGGGGTTTGGAAAAAAA